TGAAGGGGCCGTGTCAGGCAGAGTGATATTTGCAGACCTCTTCAGTGTGCAGCCTATGTAAAGAACTACATTCGGGCACCGTGGGCAGCCCAGGGACATCGTGGCAGCACTAGAGAAATGGGGGGTCCAAAGAAGATGCCAAGAATGAAAACTGGTTGGATTCAAAGGGCAAGGAGAAGTCTCAGAGCAAAGGGAAGAATGGATTTTATAATAGAAAGGGGGAGGTCCAGAGATGATTTAAATACACTAGATAAAACAGTGGAGGTGGAAAAAAACAACAACACCCCAAGCCCCAAATAAAAACCGTGCGAATGCTTTTCTGCCTGCAGAGCGATGTTGGTGAGAACTAAAGTCAGTTTATGAATTAAAATGACTCACTCTGTCCCATGAATTCTTCCCTGCCCATGCTGTTTGCAGAAATCAGACACCTGTCATCACCTGTAGCATGTATTTGGAAACACTGGTTCCTCTGGTTTTGTAAGGAGGCACCTACTGTTCAGTCCCAGTGGCTTCTGTTGGCTGCAGGTCGGTGGGGAGGTGCAAGGCAGCTCGACACGTCAGGAAGAACACAGATTGCTTCTTGAAATCAGACAGCCGCAACGGGGGAGCCCAGCTCTGCCAGGTGCTAGCTTGCGTGCGGCTTGGGGCAGATGTCATCAAATCTGCACCTTCATTTTCAGATGAAACGAAACAGAACCTGATTATGCAGAAGCCATGTGCTTGTCATCGTTGTTGTTCCTATCATTTATTATCGGTAGAAAACAGGTAATAACAGCCCTTTAAAAAACTGTCCATATGGACACGATGTTTGTCAAGCTCTTCCCATGTGCCTCTTAAGTAGTAGGGACTCGGTAGATGATATCGACGTTTGGAATTTGGAAGATGTGCTTCCTTGCAGCCTGTATCATATCAAAACCAAAACTCAGCCCTGCTCACATCCCCCCAAAGCCTCAGGGATACAATAAGCAAGGGTTCAACTGCCAATCAAGACAGAGAGTGTTAGGATTTGCCCAATAGCCCTGTGGGAAAAAGACCTGATGATCTTCTTCAACCTAGAAAACCCAGTGAAGGCGGTTCTGCTCCATCTGAATGTCCTGTGAGTGGGGGCCGGGTAGACTAGGGAAACAAACCCAAGAACACTCATGTGTATAAGACAGGACTTGACATTGAAGAGTAATTGTGTATTAAGAAAATATCTCAAGGTAAACAAGTGGCCATCTAGCTCAGAAGCAACAAAGCCCACATGGAAGAAGCACACCAGCCTGCATGATCACAAGGTGCCAAAGGGATCAGTTACCAGGCATCAAAGAACAAAAAATCATATCATTGTGTGCTCACCTCCCTGATACGATCTCTGAAGACAAATGGGTGCATAAGCAAATGTGGTGTAGAAAGCTGATGGTGCCCGCCTACCAAAAGATAATAGCGTCTGGGGTCTTAAAGGCTTGAAGGTAACCAAGCAGCCATCTAGCTCAGAAGCAACAAAGCCCACATGGAACAAGCACACCAGCCTGTGCGATCATGAGGTGTCGAAGGGATCAGGTATCAGGCATCATAGAACAAAAAATCACATCATTGTGAATGAGGGGGTGTACAGAGTGGAGACCCAAAGCCCATCTGTAGGCAATTGGACATCCCTTTACAGAAGGGTCGTTGGGAGGAGAAGAGCCAGTCAGGGTGCAGTGTAGCAACAATGACACATACAACTTTCCTCTAGTTCCTAAATGTTTCCTCCTCCCACTAGCATGATCCCAATTCTACCTTACAAATCTGGCTAGACCAGAGGATGTACACCGGTGCAGATAGGAACTGGAAACACAGGAGTCCAGGATAGATGATCCCCTCAGGCCCAGTGGCGATACCTGGAGGGTGGAGGGAAGGTGGTGGGGTAGAGAGGGAGAATTGCCCCATTGGATCCCCTTGGAAGTCACTGTTTGTATTTGGCCATTTTAATGAAAGCCCTGTAATGAGAAAAGTCTATTATGGAAAGAACTAGTCTGCAGCAATCCACTAAAAACAGAAGCATTTGTTTGATTGGTTTTTGTTTTTTTATTGTGAATTTGATATAGGTTTACAGAGCAGATCATCAGTTATCAAGCTTCCTGTTGTCTTGTTCTGTTCCCATAATTTCCCCTCATCACTCCCACTTCCTCTTGCTGGATATTGTTTTCCACTTCATCCCAGTAACACAGGTCTCTCTGCCCTTTTCTTTTCCCTCCCCTCTGTTTTCCTTCCACCGCTGGTTCCATCAAAGTCTGGGTTTTTGGTTTTTTTTCAACATGGAAAGCTTTTCTTGAGTCTGAAAAATCCCAATGGTCTCATGCAATGTTTGCCCTTTTGTATCTGACTATTTTCACTCAGATGTCCTCTGTGGTAGTTATATAATCATTTGTCAATTCGTCTAGCCTGTCAAGCAGGTCACAGCCAATGTGGACTCTGTGTGGGCATGGCCTTCTCTTGAGGATTCTGGGAACTCCTGTATTCCTCCTTGGAGGTGGGAGGCACGCTCTCTCTCTGCTCACTCCCTCGGAGACTCTCTACTGATAAGGTTCACTCCCTGGGCGATAACAAGACACATGGAACTACTCTAGTGCCCTGAGCTGGAAGTGCCATGTGAAGACCCCTGCCAGCACTGAGATGCTTAAAACACCACTGGATCCACAAGATTTCCAAGGCACTGACCTGTGATCTTCCTGTATTCAGCATCATTGCATGTTTTTGTGAGTCTGAAGGGGAATTTATAGATTGGTATGAGATATATGGGCTAATATCGGACTTATGGACTTAATTTGGACTGGGCTGAGATGTTTTCTCAATATTCAATTGCTCTTGTATATAAAGCTCTTTCTTCCACATCCGAGTGTCTATGAATTTGTTTCTCTAATCTACCTAGACTAACACATCCTCCAGGTTCATCCATGTCATGAGGTGTTTCACAGATTCACTGCAATTCTTTAATGCTTTGTAGTATTCCATTTTGTGTAGCCATTCTTCCTACCAAGAGTTGCTTCCATAGTTTTGCTATTGTGAATAGCGCCGTGACCCACATGGGTATGCATCTATCTGCTCAAGTTATTGGCTCTTACATCTTTAGGGTATGTACGGAATAGAGGAATTGCTGAGTCATAGGGTACGTCTAATCCCAGTTGTTTGAGGAAGAACCGTGTCATTGCCCACAGTAGCACTATCATTTGACAATTCCATTAGCCTTCTAGAAGGGTTCCAGTCACTGCACACCTCTCCAGCATGTGTAGTCCTCTCCCTCTGCACCCGCCCCCCTCCAGACAGTTGTTTGGAAGGTATAATGCTACTGAAACCCAGTAGCAATACTTTTTGACTCACCCTCTCGCTGACACCCACGTACATACTACATAACATCTATCGTAGAGAGGCAAGAAATGAGAGGAAGGCTCGGAATGAGATGGATTGACACAGCGGCCGCAGTAATGGGCTCCAATGGCACCGTTGTGAGGCTGGCCCAGGTCCAGGCGGCGCTCCCGGCCATGGTTCACAGGCTTGCTATACAGTGGAAGTGACGCAATGGCACCCAGTGCACGCCCATGTGCAGAGGGTCTTCCAAACATACACAGGCAAATGGACTTGAGAGAATGGACCTTTTCTACAGGTTTGTTGAAGCTCCTCGTATACAGTTGTGAGTTTGCATTTCTCTGCTATGAGACGGTCCCCTGAGCATTAGAATCCCACCCTGCTCTAGGTTCCCAGTACTGCTGTCAGAGCTCTGTCCAGGAGGGCCAGGAACAAACCTGGAGTTGGAATATTTGGGAAAGAGAGGAAAGGCAATGAGAAACAGCGAGTTTCCCCTGGGCTGACTGAGTTTGGGATACCAAGTGCAATGAGAGAAAAACGAGTGGACTTGTTGGAGGCTATAGGAGCTCTTGTGGCATAATGGGTACGAGTTGGGCAGCTAATCTCAAGGCCAGCATTTTGAAACCACCAGCTGCTTCTCAGGAGAAGGATGAGACTCTGCTCCTGTAAAGAGTTAGTCTTCGGAAACCCCCGGGGGCAGTGCCACTCTGTCCTACAGCATCACTGTGACGTAGGAATGCCTCAATGGGACTTTGGTTTTGTCTTGTTAGTGGCTTGGGACGTGGGTGGGTTCCCTGCCTCGCCTTCTCCCTTGTGGCCATTTGCAGGGTGGACTGGTGACAGAGGGCTTGGTCATTCCGACACCAGCACGGTCGGGTTTCCTTTGGTGAGATGGCAGTTAGTTGACTTTCAGGAAGGTTTCGGTTTGCTCTTGCCTCATCGTGCTGCTTTCTGTAGTGTTCGCTCTCACCTTGAACTCTTCTGAAGTCCCCGAGTTGCACAAATGGCTTGTGCTCGACTAGGAACTGAAGGTTGCCAGCTCTGAGCCCACTGAGTGGTGCTGAGAGAGAGGCCTGATGCGATCTGCTTCTGCAAAGGCGACAGTCATGAATGGAGCGTTGTCTTGCTCTGTAACACGTAGGATCATCTGGAGTCAGACTCGACGGCAAGTCGCTTTTACTTTGAGTTCGTATAGGATTTCTTTTATGTATGTCATAAAAACATAATCTAGTCCAATGATTCCATTAACTTCTTCCCAATGAAGGGAGTCAAATATTCAAATGACTGAATGAAAATGTATTAGGCTGTAAAACTATGTTGAAAACATGGTGACTTGCTGTCCCCCCAACCCCCACCATTTTCTCTTATAGCGTATTGCGCTTCCATTATCCTTTCATTTTTATTATTTTTTGGTATCTGAGTCAAAACTGGCAGCCAGCTTTCTGTCCTTTGGACTCAATTTTTCCATTCTGAAACAATCCCCAGTCCACGTTGATGATTTCAGCTTGCTGCATGCCTAAGTGTGAATTAATTATATGTTACAAACCCAACATCCCAAGACTCATTGTATTAGATCTTTGCTTTTCATTTTCTTTGGAGAACGCCATGCCTGGCATGCAGCTCCACCAAGATGTATTATCTTCCTAATCTTTAGAGGACCATGTATTATTCCGTGTAATTAACTTGACATTATTTTGCTCAGAAATTTAATTCATTCCAGACCTTAGCTTCCAAGAGAGATTTGCACAATGCATAATTTAGAAAGTAACAAAAACCACAACACAGACCGGCAACTTCTGCTCCCCCCAACCCAACCCCCATCCCCCAACCCACACTGCCACTTTCGTTAGCACGACATGAGACCTGGGGTGGCTGTGTGTTTGAGAATGACAATGTGATGTGCATCTATGTTTTTTTGGTTTGTTTTCCTGCAGTGTGTGATATTCCTCTGTATGACATATGTGACTACAACGTCTCCAGAGACCGATGCAAGGAACTCGGGTGTTGCTTTTATAAAGACGTCTGCTACGAAAAGGCAGTTCCCAGTGAGTATTCAGCATCACACCTCCCCGCATAGAGTGAACTGCAGAGCTGCTCCGGGAGACACACGGTGGTTAAGGACGCAGGCGGCTTTCCCTGGAGTCTGTGTTGGTCAGAGACTCCTCTTTTTAATTTTTTTTTTTTGGTGGTATACCAAAATGCTTCTGTTCAGTGCATTAGTGGGAGCAGGAGACTTGAAGAAAGTTTAACCGACAGGGTTTGTAAAAACCAAAAACTAACCCACAGCCATTGAGCCCCATCCTGACTCATACAGGCTCAGAACTGTGGCTTAAATCATCTGAGAAATTTCATTTGCAAGTAGCATAGATTGGGTGTTGAAGAAGATGAATGAAGATCCCTCTTTCTTGGAAGCATCTGGCCATTCTTGGGGGTTGGAAGAGGCTGAGCTTGAGTAAACAGAGCTATACAGATAGATTGGGGGTAGCCTGGTTCATGCCAGCCTGTCAAGTGTCTCATCGCAGGTGAGTTAGAGTTATTCAGGTAAGGACCAATCGAAGACAACCCCCTACAGGGCATTCTCTGGGCGCTACAGAAAACATAGACCCAAGACTAATATTTGCCAACTGATGGTGTGGTTAAGAGTTAGACTGCTAACCGCGAGATCGGCAATTCAAAACCACCAGGTGCTTCAAAGGAGAAAAGATGGAGTTTTCTACTGCCGTAAAGAGTTACAGCCTGGGGAAGAAATGGGAGCTGATATCAAGGACTCAAGTGGGAAGAGAAGGCTTTGAAAATGATGATGGTGGCATATGTGCAAATGTGCTTGACACACTGGATGAATGTATGGATTGTGATAAGAGATGTAAGAGCTCCCAATTAAAGTATTTAATAATAAAAAAAGAGTTACAGCCTCGGAAACCCAAGGGGGCAGTTCTGCCTTGTCCAGGAGGGTTGCTAGAAGTCTGTGTGGCCTCCATGGTGGTAGGTTTTCTTTTTCAAATCCCTCCAGTGTGGAATGCTTCCTGGTGGAAGGGTCTGAACAGGTAGGCACTCATGGAAGGAGCAGACCACTGGCAAGTTGGGGAGAGCCATTCACCCCTCCCCATTCACCCTCGACCACTTCCTCCATCAGGCCCCGAAGGCTTCATAAAGGAGGCACATCCTCAAAAGAACCACAGCCTTTCTCCCTGCCCGGAGTGCTCCTCCTGGAGAAGTGGGAGGGAGCGGGTGCAGCGAAAGATGCAAACGTATGCTATAGTCATCAAGGGATGTTTTAATTCTATTGTCTGGATACAGTCTTACATGCTGAGGCTTTGGCCTTCTGTGCTTCTGACATTGTACAAATTAATATTTCCAAATACTCATAGAATTCCGCTTGAAAGTTCATACTCTTCCTTGCCTGGTTTATTGTCCCTTGAAAAGAGAAGGCAAATGAGGTCTTGGAACTGAATGGGAAGTGCTAAATATGTGCAGTGGAATGAAAGGCGTGGAAGTCGTGTCTACGCGATTACGCTCAAGTGGAAGTCCTCCCCGTCAGGCAGTCACCCGTCACTCACACTTCTCAGTTATATATGTTAGACTAAGTCCAAGAAGAAAGGGATTGGAAGCCAGATGTAGCTGGTACTGAATTCTGGCGCCGATGCTTTGGGAAAAGCCACTCTTGACTCTCCTTGCTTCAAGCCACCCATTTTCTCTATCCGTGCCGCTCTCAGTGACAGTATACTTGCTCTCTGTGGCCTGGATTTCACCAGCCCTGGTGGCACAGTGGTTAAGTGTTCAGCTGCTAACCATAAATGTCAGCTGCTTGAACCCAGCAACCTCCCTGTGAGAAGAAAGATGAGACCGTGCTAGAAACCCTGTTGGGGTTGAGTGGACGGCGGTGGGTACTCGGTTGGGGGGTTGTCCTCCCTTTCCCTTCTGTACCTTCAAACTTGAGCAAATTCCTCAAAGACAGCTAGAGCCCATGGCTTCCAATCCCTTTCTTCTTGTACTTAGTCTAACATTTATAACTGAGAAATGTGAGTGACAGGTGACTGCCTGATCCCTTAGCCTCAAAACCTGAAGCCAGCTCCTTACTTTCTGTTGTTGCTTCGTTGCACTCAGTCTGGTGATGGTACATAGCATGTCTACCTGGAAGGGATAGGCAGAATAAACAAGCCAGAAGAGAGAACAATGGGATGACAGTTCTGGGGGAACATAGGGGTAGGGGAGGCGCGGGGGAAAGGATGAGGGTATTTACAAGCCCAGGGACAAAGGAACAACAAGTAATCCAAAATCAGTGTCAAGGAGGGTGCGGGAACCCTGGAAGGGCTGGATCAAGAGCAATGTAACCTAGAGGAATTCCTAAAACCCAAATGAAGGCAGAACATGATAGTGGGACAA